GAGGGGTGCTCCTCCAAGGTCTTCCTGCCCAGCATCACCTGGCTTGACTTCTGGCTTGTAAGAAATAAAGAATCTCAGGACACTCCCCAGACCAACCCCACCAAGTCCAAAAGTGGAAAAAAACCTCCAGCTGTGAGCGGGCACCAAAACCCATACAGGTATGGGAGCAGGGAGCCATCCATAGTACTCGGCTGGGGCATCTGTCAACCTCTTGCCTAGGAATTCATGGTCATCCTTGTACACCTGTGAGTGGGAAGTGGGTTCAACTACTTTTTCCAGAGAAATGAGAATGCACGTCTCCAGACACAGAATTCTCACAGAGAGCCATGGCTGAGTGTCAGGAGGCTGGGAGAAGGAACCTGCAATAGGTGTAGGCTCCACAGCTGCACCTGGATCCCTGACAAGGGGGCTATTTTAGAATCCTAGGGCTGCTCCTGCCTTTTGATGAAAGCCCTCGCCCAGAGCCCTATCTTTGCTTGCTTGCTTTCCTCTCTCTCTTTCTTTCTTTCTTTATATTAGAAAGGTATATTTACAGACAGAAGGAAAGACATAAAAAAAGATCTTTCTGTCCACTGGTTCATTCCAAAGTAGGTGCAATGGCCACAGCTGAGCCAATCTAAAGCCAAGAGCTTCTCTTGGACCTCCCACATGAATGCAGGGTCCCAATAGGGCCGCATCTTTGAAAGAGGATTCAACACTGGAGCTTACAATATCAGGCACTGGGTAAGACTATACCACAGGATGCATGTCATAAATCTCACAGGCCTGGTGGCCGTCTGCTCCCATGGAGCACACAGTTTCTTCATGCCCAGCAGTGGGGAGAGGGGTGAGGGCGAGTAGAAACTGTGATGGACAGATGTCACATCCCATGGCAATCAATCAGGAAGAACCATCAGTAGCACAGGGGCAATGTGGACTTCTGTCTATCTAAGAACACTCAGAGGTTCACAGTGATGCCAGGCTCAGCAGCCCAAGAACAGCTGAAAGTCCAAGTGAAGCAGAGGGATGCCAGGGCATGTTGAGGAACCCTGCAAGGACAAGCTGTTCACAGGCACAAAGAGATCTACCTGCAGGCAGCCAGGGGACCATTGGTGCCATCTGAGGCTGACTCTGGGCTCAGAGAGGAGGGAAACTGCACTTACAGTGACTGATCACAATCTGTGTGTTCCCCCACCTTTCCCTTGATGCCCCTCACAGAGAGGTGGCTATACTGAGAGCACAGGTGCCTGCTGTGAAAGGCTAGGTCTGATGACTAAGCAAACAGGCCAGGAGGTAAAGATTCATTTAGTTCATGACTAGATAATGAAGTTAAGAGTCAGCAAGAAAACTAGAAATGAAATGCACACAGGATGCATCAGACTACACAGCAGTTGCCATTCATGCCTGGAAGCCAGAGGGCAGATCAGACACCTGCACTGGGACATAACACCCCAGAGCCATCCCTGGGGTGGATTCCACCCAACACAGCACCTCAATGACCAGTCAGTCCGAGATCTCCCACAAATGCTCACTTTGCAAGAGCAAGTGAGCCTGCTGGTGGCTGTCTTACCACACATGCATCACTTCTCACGCATTCTCTCCAAGTATAAAAAGCTACACATACTGACCTTACTACCATCTTTATCTCGGACAAAGTATAAGGAAAAGGGGGAAATACAAGTAAATAGAGGGTAGGGGAGAAGACGTTAACGGTATTTCAGTCTAGTCAATGGCATCTCTCTGAATGGTTTGCTGAGAACTCAGGATTTTATTAGCATTCTGGGCCACGTCCTGGCACTCAACTTCTAGGAAAGGGGCATCCACCCACCCACATCTCTTTTCATCTGGGTCTGCAGGATGGCACAAAGACTCCTTGAAGTTATCTCAGCAACAGTCTTTGTGCATAAAACAATCATTTAACAAAATTCACACTTGCTAAAAATGCTTTAAGAATATAAAAAAGATTACACATGCCTTGGTCATTTCTTTCTTATTTCCCCCGAGGACTCTCCAGTAATTGGTATGATAACTTCACAGAAAAAATTCAACCTTTTGAGTGCTTCCCAAAGTCTTTAAGAATCTTAAGCCAACCAAGATTTTTGTGAAGTACAGCTCTCAGGAAAAAACACACAGAGACATGCTGACAATTGGGTCTGAAAACACTCTAATTTGTAGAGTTTCAGGAAATTTTGCTGGTTCTTTCCGGGACCTAAAACTGAGGACATTGCTCAAGGAGCTCAATACACTGTGGATCACGAGTTACGGCTGTATCCACAACTACCATGCAAAGAAGAAACTACCTAGAAACAAGGAGACAAGAGCAAGATCATGGATGTCGCTCAGACACCAGCCTGCCTAGAGTGCAGGTTGCTCCCAGATTGACTGGGCAGACCATTCATGTTCCCACTGGCCTTGTACCTGCTCGCTGAAGAGCACTGAAATACACCCGAGGGTATATCATCTGCATTTTGAAAGCACCAGGATGACTTCATGACCAGCACTGAATCTTACATAAGGAAAGCTGGCTGACAAAAAACAAAACAAAACACAGACAAACAAAAAAAACCAGACTTATCCTCTTGAAATTATCAGATACTGTCAAAAAGAGAAAGATAAAGATTGGATTCAAGGGCCAGTGTTGTGACTACTAGCAGGTTAAGCCACTACTTGCAACAATAGAATCCCATATAAGAGTGCCAGTTTGGTTTACAGTTGCTCTGTTTCATATCCACCTTCCTGCTAATGCACCTGGAAAGACAGCAGATGACAAATCCATGTGCTTGGGTCACCTGTGGATTGGGTCATCCATCATACCCGGATGGAGCTCCTGGTTTCTGGCTTTGATACAGCCCAAACCTAGATGCTCTGGGCATTTGGGGAATGAACCAACAGATGGGAGATTCTCCCACTCCTTTTCCCTCTCCCCTTCTTCCTCCGTAACTCTGCCTTTCCAATAAATGAATCTTAAAAACAAAAACCAGATTGGTTAGAGCCATATGTGAAAACAAAAATGTAGTAAGATTAAGGGAAAAAAAATAGACAGAATGGATAAGTTCATAAAAGGAGACCAAGTGTTGCCAACAGTGGCCAAAAGAAGGTTCTATATAAAAGGTAACAACCAGAGCTCCTTGGAGAAAGGGGAGATTCAAACACGCAGACAGAAGGGACAGATGCCTGGCGTGGGGATGCTAGGGATGAGGGGCACTGGAGGGGGTTGCAGACACTGTCACCCCTCAGCAAAGAAACAGTAAAGTGAACATTCAGCTCTTGCAGCTCAACATTTGCTGGGACACCTGTGTGCTAGGCCCATGTGCATGATCATCATCTCATTTAATCACTAATGCAAGCACATTCAGTGAGTGGAAATTAAAACGCTGCAAAAACTAAAGCTATAGCAGGAAAAAAAAAGATCAATAAGGCAGCTATGGCTGCATCCCAGCATCTGCAGAGTCATCACTTGCCTCTTCTGAAGCAGCTGCCTGTAGGGTAGAGGGACAGAGAGAGAGCAAGCAGTGACCCCAGACAGAAAACACCCTTCTGGGCGATAGACCAGGCATGGGGGCATAACCAGCTAAGACAAAAAAGCCCAAGGTTAGTATTCATATACTTACCATTTACCCCCTGGACTAGGGTCACCTCAACTGGTGTGATTCTTTTAATTGGAGTAAGTGATTTAAGACAATAGACTATCAATGCCCAACAGTAAGAAGAGCAGTCATCCCTGTGTGTTTGCCTGGTTGCTTTGCTATTCAACAGTCAGCAATATATTTGCAGGGTTTAAGTGATCATTCTCCTTGGTGTGCGGGTATGAGCATAAAGATGAAGCTGTTTCCACACGGGATATGCGATTCTCCCCAGCGAGGCAGCCGCCTGGAAAGAGCATTACGTTGTGTCCTTCATGGATTTAGATGGGAGAGATAGTGCTTCCAGGCAAGTGTCTGCTCACCACAAAAGCCAGCCACGCTAACTGCAGTGGGGAAAAGTGTGCATGAAATTACTTCGGGAGCTCCCTGAAGATTACGGAGTGCAGGTTTGGGACTGCATAGCAATTAAACCAGAGCGGAACAAAACGCTGTCTTTAGATTCAACAGTGCACTAGACTGCCTGCCCATCCAGACAAGGGAGCCTTATGCATTGTCTGCTACTGTTGACTTTTGTGGTAAGTTTTCTTTCTCGATCCACACGACAGGACCCAGTGCAAAGAGAAGATGGGTATACGTCAAAGCAACCCAGAGAAGGGTAACACACTGGGACACTGCCCAACAAGAAGGCATGGTCATCAGGGCAGAGAAAATCCCTGGAGGTGATAATGGAAGGAGTCAGGGAGGCCATCACTTCCTCAGGTTTAGGGAGGGAGACTGTGTTCCTGTGAACCCCAGATTCACGGCTTATCACCTTGAGCTGGGCCAGGTTCAAGATCAGGAACTGCTCTTTGGGATGCAAATCCAGGGCTCCCGAGGCAATCAGGGGTCGATCCAGAGCCTCAAGGGAGTGTCTCGGAACACGTTTTTCAAGTACTGTCGGAGCGTTTATACACACCTAACATGCCATTCATCATTCTTTTCTGTTCATTAAAGCAGCCTCCCAGAGGACCACTCTTTGCCAGTCCTCTCTGTCTGCTTCTTTTTATCTGCATACCTGAAAAGCAGTCCATTTCTTTAAAAAACATTTTTATAATTAAAATACTTCATTAATTCACATGGGGGTGCTCTGCCAATTAGTCTGCGTTCTCAGAGTTTTGTTAAACACCCAGAAAGGCCGCGCTCTCAAGGGTCTTTGGGGAAAGCTAACCGTGCAGCCACAGCTTGGCTTTGAAGCACATGGCCGGCATCTCAGCGATTCCGCAGCTGTTCCTCACGTCATGGCAGCAACTTCCTGTGCACATCCACGCCATGGGCTGCTGCTTCCCAGTTCTCACCAGGAAAGGAATATGGATTCCACAAAACTAGGGGTGCAATCAGGTAAGTCACATCAAAACCCAATCCATTTGAAATGTCGCATCAGCTGTTGCGTTACTGTACCTCTGCTGTCCGTGGCTCCTCCGCACCCACACTCAGGCCTCTGTGTCTTCCTGGAGTCCATCGCCCTAGTGTAGCTGGCATGGAGGCCCCCAGCAGGGCCAGATGCAGCCAAAAGCTTCCTAGCTTCATCCTGGTGCGTCTGTAGAGAAAACAACAGTCAGTCAGATCTATGACTGGCAATGAGTGATGGCTAGTCAGGCCACCAAGCTCCAGGGGCAGGTGAGCCTGGATTTACACCCCAGCCCCAACTTGTCTTCTTACTTGGCAGGAATGACACCACCTCTGATCCTTGCTGCACTTGTGTCTAAAATGGGTATCTCACATGGCTGGACTAAAGGAGTCACTGTCAGACATACAGGGGAACTCTATACTTGCTAGCAGTGATAGAGCAGAAACTCACTTGAAATGCTACCTGCCGGGACACCCACAACAACAAACCAGGGTGAAAGAGGTGGGTCGCTCTGGTGGGATCGCCTGTATCCTCCTCAGCCTCTGAGGGCCTACCACACAGTCAGGGCTGTGCTGTGGGGAATCCCTTTTATTTTCTGGCACCTCAGTTCACAGAAGACAGAGCATTTTGTCAGGTCCAGCATTCTTGTTTCCAAACCAATCATCCTTGTGGCTGACTCTGAGCATCTAATGACAATGCAATTTCAATAGCCTTTAGAGTGATTTCTAGGCTCACTTGCTCACACTGTTGCCTAATGTTCCAGAAGACAGGCAAAGAGAGATTCTAAGAAATTCAGGAGTTAGATTGATGAAGACACCACAGAGAGGCTGCAGCACAAATTCTGGTGCTCCCCGTGGGCTCAGCACTGGGCTTAGGGCCAGAGCATACAAGTCACCCCTGGCTCAATCAGCCGCTTTGCTTTTAAAAGAAGTTTTCCTCTGTGCACATACCAACTGCAATGCCAGCGTTTCTGACTATGAAACATAGCCAGACAGAACTCACCACGTGGCACTGACAATTCTCACACAAGCAAATGTTAGGATTTTAGGGATATTTGCATGTATAACATCATTTAATGCTCCATTCTATGTGGTATATGCTGCATGCTGGTCATGGCCAGTGAGATAAAAAACACAGAGTTCTCTAAGGCCAGCACCCTGTTGGGCCTGCCCTGGACTTAGGAGGGGTGGGGCATAGCAGGTGTCTGAGTAAAAGATGGTGAGTGCTTGAAGGATCTCACAGGCTGTGCAAGCATGCATCCCTGCTTACTCCCCTAGCCAACATGCTCCTGCTGCATTTCAAGTTCCCTCCCGCCATCGTCCACACCCCCAGAAAGAGCCGCCTTTCTATTTCTGGCTGGAGACTAAAAGGTCCGCAGGGAGGAGAAGTCAGACTAGAAATTATGGGCACATGACACCGGCCGCTGAACAGGCAAGGTTATAAGAGATGACTATGTCCTCAAAGAAGATGTCTCCTTGATTGAAAAAGAGTCCAGAGGCTCCTGCTCAGACATCTGTTTCTCCACTGGATCATCTTAGACATTTGTTGGTGGAGCTGAGCCGCTGGGGAAGGAGGCTGGTAGCCAGTGAGTATAACGTGAAGGTCACGGTCATGTCACCATCAGCACCTGCTCCATACCCTGAGGAAGGCAGAGCAGGGTCTAGCAACACAGCTTCAGCTGCTACCCAGGAGAGCCCGGCCATGTTCACAGCAGCTGCCCAGACCTGCTCTCCTCATCCAGCAGGGTGGCTGGGGGGGTGTGAATTCCTACAGGGAGGAAGAGGAGGAGGACTGGCAGAGGAGTAGGGTAGGAAGAAGCCAAGTAGCAAATAAAACACGTCTCTCCCATATTGCAATTGGTTTATCCAAAAATAAACAGGGTGATACCCTACTCTCCATAAATTATCTTCTTCTCAACATAAATCCACATTCTAGAGCCTACAGCCAGCAGCTACTAATTTTTACTTTGCTGTTTTCCTTTGACTTTCTGAAAAACAGTCACATGAGTGGCCCTGGAGGTACTAGTGGTGGTTAGCCTAGTGGTCACAATACCTGTTAGAACACCTGCATCCCACTTCAGTTCCCAACTCCAGCCTGAGCCTGGCTCCCAACTTGAGCTTCCTGCCAATGCAGACCTCAGGAGGCAGCGGTCACAGGTCAAGGAACTGTGTTCCCACCACTCACAGGGACACCTGGATTGAGCTCCTGCTCCCAGCTTTGGCAGGTGAACTTGCTCACTGGAGAGGGAATCCATGGGTGGAAGCTTGCTCTCTCTCTCTCACTCTCTCTCTCTCCACACACACACTACATCTGTCTCTCAAATTAGGAACAGAACAGCCATGGCCCTGAAGCCAGAACCAGAGAGACTCGGCTTCCCACCCTTGAATTTACTCTCTTGTCCATGAGCAAACGTCAGTCCAGGGGAAAATGCTCAGAGTAGATGCCTGGCTTCTCTTTTTCCAATCTTCCTCACCCAAACAAACTGTAAATAGCAGCACAATCAAAATGCAATCCAGGTCATGTGCAGATGCCAATTCCTGGAGTTAGGAGATGCACAAGTTACAAAACATATCATTTTCACTTTGCCTAGGAATGGAAGGCCAGTCATGTCTGGTGTTTTGTTATTAATGTCAAACACCAGAATAAAATCCATTCACTGCCATTGCTACCTTGGCAAGCATCAAACCATTTCATAGAAGAGAATTCTCCCAGACAGTCATCATTGGAGCAATTAGTCTCTGAGTCATGTTGGGGAAACCGAAGCTCTGGTCAGGGGTTCTCACAGGGCTTGGTTTTGTCTAGTTAGCACTGAGGTTCTGGATGATTCTCCATAAAGACAGGTAACAGAACACTGGACCAGCTCCAGAAATATTCAGAAGCAGATTCTCCGCAGCATGCAGCTCAGCTGGCCACCTCTAGCTCTGACTCGATTTGTACCACTCAATCTGTCTGATATGTCGTTTTACTCTTGGAGTGATTGACAATTCATTACATCTCCAGCAGCAACAGCCTAAAAATTGACAACTCCAGTTCTATGACAGCTCGATTCATAATAAAAGAATTAATGCTGGGTCTAAATCGATTTTGACGATCTAATAAGCAAACAGAGACTATCTATTGGGCTAATACTTTTATAGTAATTGGTAGGTGTCAGGCACTGTTCAAAAAGCTCTATGGGTATTAACTCGTAATCCTCATGTCTCTACTCCTAGTCAGATGGCAGAGGCAGTGGGGTCACAGAGAGGTTAAGTATCTGCCAAAGCCATGTGCCAAATGCATGGCAGAGTGGGGATTCCCAGTGAGGCAGGGAGGCCCCCAGGGTCTACTTACTATTTCCTATCCTGTGCTTCTGCTCAATACTCAAGAGTATTTTCTTGTGACAAATAGCCAATTGCAGTGAGCCTGGAGATTCGAGTTTCTCTTTTGCTCTGGAAACTTTCAGGGCTGCTCTCCCTTGGTCACAGCTCCTACCAAGGCCAAAGCCTCAGAACAGGGCTGAGTGGAGCTGCAGTCAGTGGGATCTCCCAATACTCTCCTGGCCCTCGGAGCTGCTCTGTGCATGAGCCAAGGAAGACACCAGTTAGGAAGGAAGATGCCCTGAGAACACGCACAGGGTTCCAGGTAGCAGGCACATGCACTGCATCACAGGGAGCAGCGGTCACCTGCGAAGTGGGTCCATTTACAGAGCAATGACTCCTCAGCTTTCACGCAGCAGGGACTGGAGGTCTCTTCCCATCACAGGGCTGGGACAGGTCACAGACCCTCTCGTCCCCCCAGTGCTCCTTTAGAGATCAATGCAGGCTTAGAACTGACATTTGATGCTTGCTAAGTCTTAGGCAATCACAGATTCTCCCAGGGTCAGCTTTTCTTCCAAACAACTACAGGACATATCCTGTTAAAGAGGTGCTTCTTGCTTTCTTGGTGACTTCCCACCTGAGTCAGGGGGATCAGGGCACAGCCCAGCTATCATACCCACTGTTTGCCAGAGGCCCAGGAGGCAAAGAAACCAAATCAGCAGGCAGACCTAGACCAAAACCCCAGCATCCAGTGTCCTAGGCAACTAACTGGTTTCTTCTTTTGCTGCGATCTCTCTCTCTCTCTCTCTCTCTCTCACACACACACACACACACACACACACACATTATAAACTGACCTAGGTCTGTTGAGAATGATGCATTCTCCCTTTTTTCAATACTCCTGGAGCCCCAGCAACTTGCCTACCCACTTTGTGAAATCCACAAGATTGTCTGAAGTTGCAAAAGAAACTGACATCTGTGTTTCTCCATTTACACTTAAAATCACAGAGATACTATGGCATCACATGCTACACGATGATTTGATCTTTGAAGACAGCTGGGAAAGTGCGATGTAAGTCTGCAAATCAGCCAGAAAGAAGCGGTGTTAATATTCCAAAGTCTGCACCAGGAAGGGAGCACACACCAGGAAAGAAGCAAGTAACTGTGCCTGAGCACAGAAAGAGGCAACAACTTTAGCACACACCTGTTAGCTATGCCAGGCCTGCTGCAGCAGTGGGCACTCCAGGCAGGCCTTATCGCAGACAGGTCCTCTGGCAGGCAGGCCTCCCTGCACATCCTCACAATGTTACAAGGAGGAGGAGGCGCCAGGAACTGATCTGTGTCCTTCTGAGCTTCAGACTCTGCTTTTGATTTATGAATGACTTAGGAACAAATAAACAGGATTCAAACATCCCAAGACTGTTCCTAAAACACCTACCCAGGGAAATGAGGCGCTGAAGCCCATGAGGCTCACGTTACAGGAGACTACAATGAAGTCAAATGTCATGGTCAGGTAACTGTGTGCTCTGTGGTTTTGTTTAATAAATCAGATAGTTGTTCTGTTGCAATGTAAACACACTCACGCATATGGCTTTCCATAATCCTTACTTTGCTGCCTTCAGATCACACCTCCTCAGATCTCTGCTCTCTGCAGTTGTGTTCTGCTGTAAGTTTCACACCTTGTGTTAAGCATTAAGAAACTCACAAGGGAAGAAGTGCTGTTGAAATGACTATGCAATTCATCAAGCAAGGGAGCACTTGACCAGCCCTATGCAAGCAACACACAGAAGGAAGGTTAGCTGAGAGCATCCAGAAATGCAAGATAGGAATTAAGGAAGAATTTTTGAAATCTAGACTGTCCAATGTCAGCCTCTGAAATCTAC